TCCCTCTTTTCCCTCTCACCTCCAGTTATTCATAGGACACAGCACTGGTTTCACGGCAGAATCTCTAGAGAAGAATCCCACAGGATTATCAAGCAACAAGGGCTTGTAGATGGGTAGGTATTCTTGTTGCTTAGTACATATGATCTGATGGCAAGCATTATAGATGAGCACAGCTTTTGCTGTAATAGTTTACAGGTTTCTGAGCACTTCTGAGTAACCTGATTCTTGAGTAGTCCCATTATAACATGCCTGAATACCAAAAAGTCAGGGTATCTGTTCATAGGAGTGGGAGTTTTAAACTCTTAATTTGAAAAATAAAATCTTGGGAATACACCTAAATTTCTTTTTCTTTCCAATGAAGGCCGTCAAGTTTTAGAGACTGTTAGAATTTGAAAATAGTTAATTCCTGTAATCTGCATTGAGAACATATTTTTTAGGCAAAGCTGGTACCTAACCATTTGCCCACAAATTTATAATCAGCCATTTGTGCTCTTTTGCATGAATCAGAGGAGTTAATGGTGATTTCTCACTATTTATTTCTGTTCTAGAGCAAAGAAATGAAAGTACCTGTTCCAGTGCGCTCTAAAATGTCTGCAGCTGAGATTTCAGTTTCTTCTGAGCATCTCTGCTCCCTTTTTTATATGGAGTATATGTCTCCTTTTTTTATATGGAGTTATGTGGTTATTGAAGGGAAGTTGCTTGAACTGCATTCAGCAATTCTTTATTTGTAGGATGGGAAAAGCACAGTTGCCTTCGATTCACTAATCTCACTGCTGTCAGGGTTATGGTAGAAACTTCCATGTTAGTTTCTCAGGAGACAGTGAAGTTCAAACCTTTCTCTGGCATTTTCTGATTTAGAAGCATCACTAATCTTTGTGAAGAATGAAATAGATTAAATAGAAATTGGTAGTGCATGTCCATATCCATCAAGCACTGTTTGTTTATTGTTTTGGGGTCTTGGCTGGGCTAAGGCTTTTGGGTTTTAGCTTAGCAGGTCAAACAGAGAAGAGAGGCTGAGAAAGCAAAGGAGCACTGCTGACTTTTTGGTGGTTTCTGGTTCTCTGCACTACAGATCTTTATAATCTTGAGCTCATTTTGACATGTTGCCTTAGAAGTCTGATGGCCCATCCTTCTTGAGGTTTTCATAAATGTGTTAATGCCTTTGAGGTGGTGTTACATTTGTGGCTAGTCAGCTTACTCACTGTAGAAGGTGAAGATTGGTTAGTTTGGCTGTAAGGAAGTTGGTCAGCAGTGACAACAGAACCATGTTACCTGAGTGCTCTGAGATCTACAGATTATGATTTTCAGGATGTAAAAGTCTTGCCTATGTTTTCCTGCTGTGTGTTCTTCAACAAATAAAGGTAGAAAGTTAAAAATCTTCTGATGGCTCATGTAAGAGTTCAGCAATATATATATGCAACTGATACTGTGATCTTTGACTGTTCCTGAAAGCTGTTGTTGAGGATGCATCTATCTTTATAGTCAGGGTTTGTGTGGACAGCCAGGTGGCTTTCTGCCACCAGCTTAGGATACCATGCATTATCTGAAACTACTAGATGAAAAAGATTTAGAGGTACATGCATGAACTTCAGTAACCATAGGGCAGGTAAGACCTTTCTCCCTGATGTGGATCCTAATGTATAAAGGTTTTTGTTCCTTTTCCACACATCTGGTCTCCTAGGACTAAAAGAGAATGTTCAAATACTATGCAAAGTTTCTGATGGTGGCAGGACTTGCCTGTCCCTGACTTTTGGACTGACCCTGGTTATGATGGTGCATTTTTGTGGTGTTGACATTTCTCAATCAGCTCTGAGGAGCTGGAGTAAGTTCTTTTGGGTTCCTAAGACTACAAGCAGTTCTTGCAACTCAGCCTCGGAAAGTGTGTGCCTGGCTTAGTGGTTAGCAATTAAGAGGACTTGATGCTTGCCCCAGTACTGTGCTTGGCCATCTCACAAATCCACTCGTGATTAGTGCTGTAAGCCTTGTGCCAAAGGTATATTCTTGTTTCCTGTGACATGGAGAGGATCTGCTTCCTTAGTTCATAAATGTCAAGGGGAGGAAATGTGGGGGTTTTAGCTAATTTTTTTTTCGCCTCTTCATAGTATGTATTTAGCCATTTGAGTTAGGACTTCAATTTTGTGGGTCAACTTAAAAGTGACAGATAATGTATGATGTTACTAGCTGTACTCCTAAAGTACATTCTTTTCCAGTGATGCTGAGGGAAAATTACTGTCACTGTTGTGGAGGCAAAAATCAGTGTGCCTTTTCCCCATCTTGATAACGTGGATGCTACTGAACCAATAACTAATTTTAAGAAAGTATTTAGCTGTTTCTGTGCACTTGCAGCCATTTAACCTAAACATAATTTTGCTGGCACTGGATTTCTGTAAACATGTTCCCATGAACAGAAATTCAGATTTGCTCTGGAGTTAAATTATAACATTTTCTTCATGAGGGTACATACCATTAATGGAAAGCCAAGTTAGAAGCTTAAAAAAAGCCTCATACATACATTCTTAGGGGAAGAACTGCCATCATGTAGTTTCTTCTTCACTTCTTGTTCCCTCGTCTATCAATGTCGCATAGCCATGGTATAAAAACTGAAAGCAAATTCCCAGTTATGTCTGTTAATATAACTAAAGAAGAGTTAGGCAGTGGCACAAAACTACTTAGTAGTTCTGATAATTTATAGAGAAATGGATTGCAGTGTTCAGTTTGTTCTTAAAAATGTTCTCTCCTAGATTATTTCTTCTCCGGGACAGCCAAAGCAATCCAAAGGCATTTGTACTTACGCTGTGCCATCATCAAAAAATAAAGCATTTTCAAATCTTGCCGGTAAGTAGAGTATTTTTGCTACTGAGAACAGAAAAACCTTTTCAGTCATGAAGCTTTGACAACATCTGAGGAGATCTCTTACAAATTACTGATGTTATTAACAGGGATGTTTCCATTAGCAAGTATATTAGCAAGTCTTCTTTAGAATTGTCAAATGTCTGATTAAAATTATCTGTTAACGTTGCCTGGAAAAGTAGTGTAAGTCACTACGTTACACACGTCTGTGTAACACACAGAACTCATTCTCTGTGACTGACAGCAGTAAGAGCAGCTGTTGTCTCCGTGTCACTTAGGCAAGCAGAGAATAACTTAGGGAAACTAAAGTGATTTTTACTTTGATCAATAAAAGCATCAAAAATTTAAGATCACGTAAACCTTTTTATCGGTCTAAACCCACTTCCCTTTTCAGCCTGCCAGTTTTACAAGCAGCTAACAAATACTTTTGGGGTATTTTTGTTTTATATAATAAGGCCAGTGCTGTCTCTACAACTTTCAATTATTCTGGCCATAAACTTTCACTTTCATAAACAAAATGTTACAAGTTGGGTTAACATGTTTTTTTCTAGTGCTGTGCATGGTTTCATGAAGCTCTCTGGGCACTAGTTTGTTTAGGCAGTGCCTATCATTTATGTTATGTCACATGCTGGTGTTACTCTATGTTTTGCCAAGCTTGCATCTCTTCATGTGCAGTCTAACTTGAAAAGGATGTTTTGTTTCTCCAGTGTGAGGATGATGGACAGATATTTTTCAGCCTGGATGATGGGAACACCAAATTCAGTGATCTAATCCAGCTTGTTGAATTCTATCAACTAAACAAAGGAGTCTTGCCCTGCAAACTCAAACACCACTGCATTCGAGTGGCCTTATGACCTCAAATCTGACTCTCGCTGAAGACTGGATTTGCTAGAAGAGTAATTGTAAGAGAACGTTGACACTGGGGAATTGGCAGATTTGTAAGTTGGTAACAAAAAATAAAATATTATGCACCTTGGGACTCTGAAAGGGATGGATTCGACAGGTGCCAACAGACCAAGATTGCTGGTTTGTCTAACACCTAAGAGTGATTGCTGCTGAGTGTCCCAGCATCCCAAAAAAGGGGGGAGGGTCTGTAAAACAATGAGTAAATTTGAAACAAAACTGGAAACTATCTTGGCTGGGCCACTTAACAGGAACAAGTGTGAAGAGAAATCTTTGAAAAGAACTCTTGCCCTGGAATAATCTTGACAATTAAGACTAGTGTGTTTACTTTTTGTATTGATCACTTTTTTTGCACTCCTACTTTGTTTCGGATGTTGTATGCAGCCTATATTAGGAGCTGATGTGGCTTTTAAAATTCATGCAGGAGTTGGGTATTAATCTGCACCCTAAAATGTATGGAATGCTTCAGCCTAAAAGGATCTAGAAGAAAATCAAGAAGCGTGTGTGTGTGTGTGTTTGCGTGCGTGTCTCAGTACTTCTCTGGAGACCTGAGGTTTGATGATCTGCAGATGTCTTTGAAGAAGCAATGAGGATACAACTCTAAAAGAACATACCACCATATGTGTACTCTTAAAACTGTTGACTTGTAGCATTATGGCTGTAGTATGTTGATGGCATTAGTGGCATCCAGTCATGCAAAGACTGTATTAGATTCTATGCACAAATTTTTATTATTGGCCTGGTGGTTTGTTTTTTACAGCCTTTTGACTGTTTTCATGAGGAAACTTACTGTTACTAAATAGAATAGGACTGAATGACTACACTTGTATTTGAAACCACCATTTTTTGTGAGAAGATTCTTCTGCAGGTAGTCTTAGTATGACAAAATAAAAAAAAATAAATTAAAACCCAGTGTTTTTAGCTTTATAGCTCCTTGAATTTTCAGACTGTTTCAAAGAGCTCTTTCCATATGGTAAAACTACAGTGACACAAAGCTCTCCTGGGGATAGGGTGTAAGAACTGTAACCCTTCTGCTTTTTGTAGGGCTGTGAAAGTTTACATGGTGAGAAAGAACATACTGGGAATAAAAACAAATTTGATTGTGAACTAGCTGCTGGCAATACCATCCATCAAGGTAACTGGTGATCCCTGTCACAGATGCTACCGTGCACCAGTACCTGTGGCAGACAAGCATGTATCTTGCTCTGGTGCTGGTTTGTCATCAGAACTACTTTATTGTTAACGCTTAAATGAATTATTTAATGTTTACACAATAACTCTTTCTGATGATAAATCAGTATTAAAATTAGACAAGTCCCACCTTGATCCTCCAATTGCAAGTAACCATTCTTTCAGCAAGGCGTTTCGTGCAGGAACTGTTTGAACTGAAACGACTTCCCAGTGCTTCGTGCCGTTGGCCACAGTGAGAAGTATTCCGCCCTGGGAACTTGCAGAGTGTAGTGCAGAACGGAGCATTCTTAAGATGGTAAATGATTTACATGGGCTAGTTCATCCTTACTATTTGCCACTGGGTTTGAAATCCTAGCCATCTGGAAGGGTAAAGAAGGAAAACCAATCCTACACTTTTAGGTGTTCATGTAGTGTTAAGAGTAGCTTAAGACAAACCATAACCTGCCTGAGTCGTCCATATCAGCTTAAAACTATGTCAATGGTATAGAAACACTGTATTTTAGTTTACAGAACACATTTAGTATTTTTTTTTCCATTTAATGTCTAGATACTAAAAATGAAGAAACTTGATTTTTTTAGTAGAAGCCTTTTTTGTTTTGTTTTGTTTGTTGGGTTTTTTTTAAATTGTACATAGTGAAATGAGTGTTCCTGCTTTCTAGACAATGTATTTTAAAACCTTGAAATTAAGCTAACTTAAGTCTGACTTCACTTTGCATGCTTCTATTTGGCCCCTATTAGGAGAAAAAAAATACTTGTATTGACTACATTACCAGTTTAATAAGACCATTTATGCTGTAGTTTTAAGTTTTTCTGTTTACATAGCTTAGTGACAACCATGCATTTTTCCCAATAGGCAGATAGTATTTGCAGTGTTTCATATTTATAAAAAAAACCTTGCATCTTATTTAAATTGAGAATAAAAGTTTGACTATGAATCATGATTTTTGTATGTAGATGGTTGACTTAGTATTTTGTACTTTTCCCAGCTAAAGTGAGCTGTTTTGAGAAAGTGACCACCTTCAAAGTGGCAACAATCTTACTTAAGCAGATCACTGCTTTGTCTTCTTTCTGCTGGAAAACAGTCAATACCACCTTAGTTTTCCAACAGATTCAGCTGGCTGCCAGCTCAGAATACCAAGGACTGAAGGACATTTGACTCTTATTTTTGTATTTAAATGACATGAATGTAAAGGGGATGCTCAGGGTTGTTTTGGAGCCTGTTGAATTTTTATCTTTTTGCCTGTGATTTTATTTTCTAAATAAATACTTCATGTAGCAATCTTGAATATGTTGAGAAGGAAAATGCCAAACCATTTTGGTAATGAGGTTACTAGTTAAGTTATGTTACGATAGGTGTTAAAGTACAAAAAAACTTTTTATTTGTTAATTAATCTTGAAGAAACACGTGCCTCAGTTTAGATGTTTTGTCTTATCTTTTCTGCACTAAATACCTGACAGTTTGACCAATCAATGCACCTTTCCAGTGGCAAGACTTGCTTATCGTAAATTATATTGTCACAATGCAAGATTTAGTGACTGTAAAATGGAATAAAGTTTAAAGTTTCAGGGAATGCAAAAGGTATTAACTTAAGAGACAAAACCTTTATTCAATATGCTTTGCTTCATACTGTAAATAGCTTTTTGGCTTGTGAACCTAATTGTAATCTTTCAGGTATTTTTGTACAAATAAGGGACTGATATTCTGTTTCTTGTAATTAGAAATAAACGTTAATACAATGCTATTCATTTTATATTGGGATGAATGTCGTCTTTTGGATCTATACACTATATCTCTTGCCTTAACTCAGGGTTAATTGGGGTGGGTTATATTAAACAGCTTTTAAGAGGAGTTAAGAGGAGAACAGAATCCACAGGATAGATACCTTTATTCTGGCTGTTCTGTCTTATGATTCCTGTTAGGACAGACTCCAGTTTGTTTAAAAAAGAACTTGTTCACCCCTTTTGTTTGAGGAAAATTACTGGGGTATTCAGCTTTGATATTGACAATATTCATTTGGGAAGGCTGCTAGAATCAAGCCAGGAAACATACCATGAGCATCTTTTGGGTCATAAAGCTGTAACTCACTGAAAATGTGCACTCTGCATAAAACACCTTATTGGACTGATAGCTGTTGGATCAGAAAATTTTTCAATAGTTCTTTCATAAAGCAATTATATATCTCTGTAATCCTTGTATTCAAATGGTCCATCAGCATTTGGCTGGAAAAGCACATCTGCCCAAAATATGTTTTTACTTAAAAAATCCGGAAGAGGGGGGAAGGGATTGGCGGTTCTTCTGGTTGATAGAATAATAGGAGGTTGGGAATACTTCACATTTTTGTTGGACACTATCCTTTCCTGTTACTGCCTTGTTAATCCATAGAAGCCATCAAATGCATTCCACTTCAAAACTTGGCTACACTCTGGCTTCTGCATGCTATGTCTTCATGTGAGTTTGTGTTGCACTGTGGCATGAGTTTGTATGTTAGCACTGTGAAATTCATTCATCAGCACATAAGGCACAGTAGTTCCTTGGGGTTTTGAAACTCCGATTTTCTTCTATCTGGAGATGCATGTTTAAAAACTTAAAGTGCTTAGAGTTCACTATCCTACATGCAGCAACTTAATTTTTCACTGAGTTGAGCATGGGACTGCTTGCTTACGAAAGGTTTGAAGATGCCTGTCTCTTGCTTAGCTAAAGGAAGCTGTGCTAACATTGAAACCAGCACCCTCTTAATCATGAAAAACCAAGGACACAAACCTGTAAAAAGTACAACCAAAAAAAATCAGCCCCAAAACTCCCCATCTTACTTGATTACATATATTGCATCTGGAACAGACAAGAAGATGGCACTAAACAAAAGCAACATGGTAAGAAGATCTTGGTAAGGCTGCCAGGTGGCAGGGTAGTCCTGTCAGCATGTTTGTCCAATTTGCCCACCACTATGGCAAGTGCAAAATGATACCTGTGATATTCCTTGACATTAGCAGCTGGTACTTGTGCTATCAGAGCATCATCAGGACAAAATCAGTCTGGGCCTGAAGTGGGTATGTGGTACAGATTTTAATTGCTTGCCTGATAGGAGGTTTGTGCTGCTTTTACATTAGTTGCAGAACAACAGACATAATCAGACATCTGGTCCCACATGAAGCCTTCTAGCATGAAGTTCACCTGGCAAAACTGCTTAAATGCATTTGGACCTATGAGTAAATTCGTATCAGCCTAGTGTTTTACAGCATGTGGCTGTAGCACGTTCATCCTAATACAACGAACCCTTAAATTAGGATTATTTTAATATTAAATTGTTGTCTCAGCCTGTACCTGTGAAACCAGACAAGAAAAACATCACCAGATTAGCCATTTCCCTTCAAGTAAGTTGAACTTTAGATGACTCTGGGTTTATGTTACTGCTAATTTAGTAATGCTTTAATCTGGTTTGTTAATGTCCAGTCTGTATATTGCTTTGTGTCTTGAACATTGTCTGACATCTTGGAAACTTCAGTAACAATATCAGCAGATGGAGAAAACAGATATCTTCCTTTGAAAAATACACATTGCCTTAATTTGGGTTGCTTCTGCATCCTAAATCTTATGTCTTCCTTCCTTAACTTGAAGCACAATTTAATTAGTATTTGAAAACCCAATATAACCACAACTATGTCCAAGAGCTATATGATTTTCATTAGATACTGCGATTAGTCACATCTGAGAGTTCAAAATGAATTAGTTTGTGTAACACTCAGATTGCAAACTCTTAGCCCGAAGACATTCTGCTCTAATTGCTCATCATTTCGCACAGATACTAGCAGATGTTTTAGCAAGAACGATCGGTTCACACAAGACACTGAGCTATGATTACAGGGTCTTATAACATTTGTTGGTTACCCAGGTTTGTATGCTTTGCTATAATCGGGTTTTTTCCATCTCTTGGCTGCAATATTCTGGTGCCACAATTGGGGAACAGGAAGGTGAAATTATTAACAGCTGACAGATCTGAGCCAAAGTACAGCCTGGGTTTATGGGCTCTGAAGTTCAGCTCAACTGCACTCAAGAGGTGTAACTCGTTAGAGCTGAGAAGACTGGAAGAGAAGTGGAATGGAGAAAAGAATTGCTCTTGGGCCGTATTGTCAAAGTGGGTTTTTTGGGTGTGACTAGGAATATGGTGAAGACAGTGCTGTGAAGTCCAATTGCTGCTCATCAGTCCCTTAGAGTTCA